TATCGTAATCATTTTAAGTGTACAGGTTAGTAGTATTACTTATATTCACATTGTTGTGCAACCAATCCCAGAACTTTTTCATTTTGCAAAACCAAAGCTCTTTACCCATTAAACAGCTTCCCATTTTCCCCTCCCCAGTCAGCCACTGGCAACCACCATTCTACTTTCTCTTTCTATAAATTTTGACTTTTCTAGATACTTCATATAAGTGGAATCATACAGTGTATGTCTTTTTGTGACTGACATTTCACTTAGCATAATGTCTTCTAGCATGTGTCAGAAATTCCTTCCTTTTAAGGCTGAATAATAAAAAAAATTAAATTTATTTTTAATTTTTATTGTGATTCTCCTGTTCTTTTTGTCGTTTGAGTTTTCCTGTGTTCCTTAAGCCATTATTTTAGAGGAGTAGATATAAACTTCTGTGTCCAACCTGGTCTTCAACAGAAAACCCGTATTCTACTTATGAAATGTGATGTTTAAGGACATATTCTTTGTTGCTTTTTTAGAATCTCTTTAACTTTGCAAGATTCCTTAAAGGAGAATAATAAGTATGCATTTCGTCCTGATTTAGCCAAAGAAAAACTTATGCTTTGATATTAAGCGAAAAAATTTGCTTTAAGCAGCTTCCTATTCAGCATGAATATAAGCTCTTCCTTAGTGAATCTAGCATAGTGGATCTCAAAGTGTGGTCCCCAGACCTACAGCCTAAGTATCACCTGAGTATTTGATAGACGTGCAAATTCTTGGGCCCCACCTCAGACTTACTGAATCTGAAACTCTGGGGGTGGGGCCCAGCAACTGTGTTTTAAGTAGCCCTCCAGGTGATTCAGATGCTTGGTAAAATTTCAGAATCACTAGTCTTCTAGCGGCAACGCTTTTGCAAAGTTGCACATAGAGATTAAACATTTTACTTACTCTTAGTCCAAATGTCTGTAAGATTTTCAGGTGATGGGGTGACCATCTTTTAGCAGGCATGTTGTGAAGTATCTGTACCACGTCTACGACATTGGGACTAGTCCCAATATTCAGGATTTTCCGCTGCTGAAGAGGCAGTCCTTATCATGTATTTACACTACTTGACCACTTCCTTATCTGGCACCCTACTGGCTACACTTACTAGACCACCTCAGTCAAGGTCAGGCAATCTACTAGATGGTCAAGACCAACTAACTCGATTCTCTCTTGAGAATATGAATCAGAGACACCAAAACTGTAGTCAGTGTTGAAACGCTGAAGGTATGTAAAATTGAGGCTGATGATCAGTCAGCCTTGGGCAAGAACAGGCCCTGTATCCTCTCAATTGCCTCCTTTTTTTTCTCCTTGAGTCAGTATATATTTCTTGCACCCCAGAGACTTGATCAGGAAACACCTTAACTATTGACAGGAAGTGCTGCATGATTGATTGGTCATAGTTATTATTCTGTACTGCTTGCCCAAGCCATTGACTTTGTTTTTTGGCAGTTACGTATAAGCAAGTTGATGTATCTCTTTAATTTCCCGGTGTGAAAACAAATTTGGTAGCACTCTTTTCATTTCAATGCTGAGCTCTCAGAGTTCTTTTGCCATTGCTTCCAGTCTGATTCTCTGAGAAATTGGTGCAAATTGCTTTGTAAATCCACAACCAAAAAATCAATATCAGTGATGCTCTTTTAAAGAATATGAGATAGATAATTCCCATAAGCCACTGTTCAAAAGGCTCAAAATGAAATGTTCTGAAAATGAAAGCAAAAGAAATCATACAATATTACCAAAAAGGTTATGTGGTAGTGAATAAAAGCCAGAATATGATTTGAGAAGTGAACATTTGTTCTGAGAACAATGCTAATGTAATGGGAATATCAGGACCAAGCTTTACTTTTTCAGGTCATGGTTATTTATTTAAGAACTGATGCAAATGAAAATTACCAGAGAGCTGTTTGCAAGGATGTTCCAAGTCCAATAAGTCTTCTTTTAGTGTTATACTATTGTAAATCTCTCAGGATGAAAGAAACTATATGGGTCATCTAATCCAATTAGGCATTTCATGATTGAATCATTTCTGTATTCTTAAAGAAATGAGAACCACACAACCTTGGCGTTGTGGTTGATGACAGACAGCTGTCTACCATGCTTCATATAATAAATCTACAAAAAGAAATAATTTGGAAACACAAAATGGCATTAACAAGATATGGCTCTTATTAATGTTTGGAAAAGTAGTGCTTTTTTTATTTTGTCATTCCTGGGGAAAAGGTGTTAGACATCATGGCAGAGAGATTGATAATTATCTCCAGACTTTTTTTTTTTTTTTTTTTTTTTTGAGACAAGGTCTTATTCTATTACTCAGGCTGGAGTGCAGTGGCATGACCACAGCTCACTGCAGCCTTGAGCTCCCTGGGCTCAGGCGCTCATCCCACCTCAGCCTCCCGAACAGTTAGGACCACATGTGTACCACCAAGCCTGGCCAATTTTTGTATTTTTTTTGTAGAGATGGAGTCTCCTTATGTTGCCCAGGCTGGTCTCGAACTCCTGGGCTCAAGCAATCCACCCTCTTTGGCCCCCCAAAGTGTTGGGATTACAGGAGTGAGCCACTGTGCCCAATCAGACTTGGTTCTTTTTAATCCCCAAATGTTTACTTGGCACATGACTGCTCAAAATAAAGATTACATTTCCAAACTTTCCTAATAGCCATGTGTTTCAGTTGCTATCGCTGTGTAACAGATTATCTCAAAACCTAGGGGCCTACCACAACCTTTTTATTCTGCTCACCGATTCTGTGGAATAAGACTTCAGCCAGGGCATCCAGCACAGGGCTGGCTTCTTCCGTCATGCTGAATTGACTTCAATAATGCTCTATTAGTCAGAGAAATCACAGGCACTTTCAAGGGGGAGGGGAAATAAGACTTCAATTCATTAGTGGGTAGTGGCCACGCCACACTCTAGCAGATATTGTTGTAGTCATCTTTGGAAAATGTAATCTGCCACACCACAGAAGTGGCCATGTTGACTAAGTTCTAGCCAAGAGGATGGAAGAGGAATTGTGTTTAACTTCCTCGAAGTGTCCTTAAAGGGTATGTGATTCAGGGAAAGGAGGGGAGCTTCCACTTCTCTTTTTCACTTTCCTGTTAGCTAAAATACGACTGGCCCTGGAGCAGCCATTTTGGACCACAAACAGGATCACAGAGCAATGAGCTGAGGGAGCCTGGGTCCCTGATGATCATGGAGCACCATACCGACCCTGAACTGCCCACATTTAGATTCCAGAGAAATAAAATTCTATTTTAAGCTATTGTGTTTTGCATTTTCTGCACATGTGAGCAGTGTTAATCATAATTAATACAAATATTATCACATATTTAGACAGGTGATCCACATGCATCTTAGACTATCAGATCCATAAAAATAATAATGCTTACACGGTAAATAGTAGTACTAACATTGTGCTCCAACAAGTGACGTGTGAGGCTCTCACCATATTTTATAAAAGTTTAATTCTTTTTTTTTTTTTTTTTTGAGACGAAGTCTCACTCTTGTCCCCCAGCCTGGAGTGCAATGGCACGATCTCGGTTCACTGCAACCTCCGCCTCCTGGGTTCAAGCGATTCTCCTGCTTCAGCCTCCCAAGTTGCTGGGATTACAGGCGCCTGCCACTACGCCCGGCTAATTTTTATATTTTTAGTAGAGATGGGGTTTCACCAATTTGGCCAGGCTGGTCTCAAACTCCTGACCTCAGGTGATCCACCCGCCTCGGCCTCCCAAAGTGTTGGGATTACAGGCGTGAGCCACCGCGCCTGGCCAAAAGTTTAATTCTTAAAATGCTTGACACAATCAGAAGCACTTAACTACTGTATATTTAAAAACAACGTAGCATTATTACCATAAAGTTCTTAAGAAATGAAAACAGAGAAATACATTGGCTCATAGAGTGAATACAGGATGCATCATTAACAAAGGGTTAACATCAAGATCCATTTTTACAAAAGGGACTAGTTTGTTACATCTCTGATTTCTAGTCTTGGAGTTTCCCCAGTCATGTGTTTACTCTTCCGTGGGTGGGAAGATAAATCAGAATAACCAAGTGAGCTTGCTCTTGAACTATTTTATTTACAATGATATGGTAATTGTAGAAAATGAAGTATGCGTATTTAAATAGCATTTAATTGACAAAAGACAATTTTCTCTACTTCAAAATTGTAAACATTTGCAAAGTAAGCCTCATATCAAAGTCAAAGCCATCTACTTTAAAAGCACACATTCGTAATTCTATTTTTCTTTATACTGAAGTATTTCCATTTTTGGAGATACAAGTCAAAATCACTCAAAGCATAAAGAAAAGTTTCAAAATAATAAGCGCCTCATCTTGCACTATCCTATTTGAAGGAGATTAACTAACTTTGATAGGTGCCTCACAATAAATGGCGCCTTTGTCTCAACAAATAGTAAATGCGTGGAGTGCACAACGGAATAGCATCAGTAAGATAAAACATAATAAACAGGATGGATGGGGAAAGGCTAGATAAAACGTGGTGGAAGAAAAAGAAAGACGTCACAAAGATGGGGTAGCATTTCTTTGTCCAAAAGAGAAACAGTACCACCATAAGACTTTAAACAAAGGACATTAACAACACTTATCATGCAAGTAGATTCCAGAAGGAAAATAAAATGCCACTACTAAGGTGGAGGCTGAAGTTTCAGGACAAATCGCTTGGCACCACCTCTGCGGGGGTTCACCATGGCGAATGACGCGTGGGAAGCTGGGCGAGTGGCCAGCCCGCTCCTGGACGCGCGGACAGGTGGACACCAAGACGGCCTCGCTGGGCCTCCCTCCGCCTCACCCAGCCCGGGCGCGCAGCCCGCCAACGAATTCCACCCTGCCGTGCTCTGAGCGGCTGGTGAGCGGCGCCAGCCGGCGGAGGTTGCCATGGTTTCCGAGGGTCACGTGGGCGCGCTCTCCTGCGCCCCCTCCCGCGCACCGCGGCGGGGCGGGGGCGGGGCGCCCGGGCGAGGGAGAGGCGCGGCCGCGGCGGGAGCGGGAGGAGCAGGAGATGCTGCCAGCCCTCCCGGGGCCGCGCTCGCTCAGCCGCCGCCGCCACACGGAGCAGACGCGCGCCAGGAGCCGCGGGCCGGGCCAGCCGGGCCGCCGGGGCCCAGTGCGCCGCGCTCGCAGCCGGTAGCGCCGCCAGCGCCGTCGGCGCTCGCTCGGCAGCCGCGGGGCCCTAGGCCGTGCCTGGGAGGGGGCGAGGGCGGCGCCCAGGCGCCTGCCGCCCCAGAGTCAGGATGAGCATCGAGATCCCGGCGGGACTGACGGAGCTGCTGCAGGGCTTCACCGTGGAGGTGCTGAGGCACCAGCCCGCGGACCTGCTGGAGTTCGCGCTGCAGCACTTCACGCGCCTGCAGCAGGAGAACGAGCGCAAAGGCACCGCGCGCTTCGGCCATGAGGGCAGGACCTGGGGGGACGCGGGCGCCTCTGCCGCCGCTGTCGGGGGTGGCACCCCCAGCAAGGGGGTCAACTTCGCCGAGGAACCCATGCACTCCGACTCCGAGGACGGAGAGGAGGAGGAGGCGGCGCCCGCAGACGCAGGGGCGTTCAATGGTGAGGACCAGACCCCCCGCCCTCGCGCCCCGGGATCCCCTTGCTGCCACGGCTCTCGGATCTTGCCGCTTTGCGCGCCCACCTCTCCCCGCATTCTCCACCTTTCCCTACCTTCCCATCTCGCCCACCCCCTCAGCATCCATTTCTGTCTCTCCCACTCGCCCACCTTCCTACTCCGCTCTCTGTCATACCCTCTTCCCTTCCTCTGGAGGTGGGAGAGCTGGGAGGTTACGCTTCCCTCTGCCCGTCTGCCCCCTCTGCCTGGGCTGGTTGGGGTGGGCATCTGCTAGAAAGACAACTTTCGCTGTGATTGGAGGTATTTCGCTTGGAGGATACCATTGTGCATAAAGAAACTGGCCCACTTGGCGTCTTCTTTCAGCCTTTGTATTTATTAAACGAATGTCAAAAGAGAAAAGGCGAACGATGTTTAATATGATTGTCTTTACTGTTGTTAGGATGGTAGATTCACTAAAAGAAGCATGAAATTGGACTCACTGGGGCAGAACAAAATTTATGGCCAATAGCTCTGACATTCTTGGAAATAAGAGTTATCTGTTATTTTCCAATTTACCAATGCCGTGTTGTGTTATTTTTGGACACGTAACAAAGGATTCTATTTAGTCTGAAACCCACGGGGGTCTTTGGAATGAGGAAACGGGTTAATGGTTTGCTTTTTGTATAAAAGACATATTGAATGATTTGCTGTTTTATTTTTTTTAAGTGTATGAGAAAAACACTGTAGGAAGTTCTGAAAGCTTGTTGGTTGTCTTTAGAATGAAAAGCCAGTGAGTAATTGTAAGGACTGTGCCAGACTGAGCTAGAATAGACTGAGCTAGAAGAATGAATGGGAAAGAAAACGGAATTTTCTCAAATAGCTGCTCCTGGCAAGTCCCACCCCTTCTGCTTACAACCCTCTTTCCCTAACACACCCAGACACACACCCTCATTTACAGCCCCCTGTATTACACAACATACCCAAATCCCATTTTTATGGCAACCCAAGCTAAAATACCATGGAGTGCAATGTGCAAGTGTTTTCTCTTTGTGATATAAGGCAAACATGCATGCAGCATTGCACCAGCTTTTATTTATTTACACTGCTTGTGGTTTGTGTGTCCGCAGTGTATTTCATAAAATGAAAACATTTAGAAGTGTCATTTCATTTCCTTGTGTATGCTCCTAGGAAGATGTTTCTTTTCTTTGCACGATTACATGTTGAAATGGATTATAAAATTAATGTATTTTTAGTTTGTCCAAAACAATCCCAGAAAGCCTGGAAATTAGTGCTTTATGAAGATAAAAGTGAAGCTTGTTACTTACAATTTTAATTTTGGACTTTTAAATGTTTCCTCAAGAGGATAATCATAGTCTTAGTAGTTCTTTTTGCACAAGAATCAAATCAAACGCTTTTCCTTCTAGAAACAAGAGAAAGAGAGAAGAATGCATGTTTTAAATAGGTAAGAAGCAGCAGCCAGTAACGGATGATAGAAAGGGCAGAGATATCTAATACTTCTTTTATGCTCCTGACGCATGCACACATGTTCATGCACACACACAAAGGGGGAAAAAAGGACTCTTTTCCCAGGTTGGAGAAAACTAGGAACTCAGGGGCTTGGTAAAGACCTTATATGTATTCTGTATAATATGTTGTTAATATAATCAAAATCTTTTGTTTGTATAATGCATTTGTTGAAGTACTTTGCATTGATGATTCCATTTTCTCCTTATAACAATATATTGTGCACAGAAGAGATTCCATTTTCATTTTGTAGTGAAGAAACAAGCCGTTAACTTCAAAACAGCAGGGCTTTATATGACTTTATATTCTCCAAGGCACCTTTGCTGTAAAAATTGCTCAATGTGAGTTAAACAAGTTAAACTTGTAAACAATTGCACTATTTACTCCCCAGCCTCACCTCCAAGGCCTTTAAAACTTTTAGACTGCAACCAAATACAATTTGATCATTATCCAGGAGGCACATACATGTGTCTGATTGAAACTTTGGCAATAGTACAGGTACTACCTTCTGTCAGATGCAGTGCTTTTTGATATTTACTATTTGAATTGATTATTTCTCCCTATTTTAAATTGTGTTGAGACCTGCAGTTGAAAAACATTTAATTATAGGCTACAAAGTGGTTGGCAAGCTTTTCTTGTAAAGGGCCAGATAGTAAACGTTTTAGGCTTTGGGCAACATGTGGTCTTGATTACTTTTTTTTTTTTTTTTTTAAACACATACGCGTTGTAAGGGTTGGGATTGTCGAAAATTAGCCGCATATCAAGGCCAAAGCTTGCTGACCCCTGATCAGAAGAAAAAAAAAAAAGTCAAAATAGTACCACTGGGGAAAAAAACAGGAGTGAGCCTAAAAAGTATGAGCCTATCGGTTTGACATCTATGTCCAGAAATGTCCCTCATTAGAAAAGAACCCCAGATACGGGGCAATTCCGGCATAGTAAAGAATAAGGATTGGAAAACAAGTCTTAATTTACTATGACACAGCACAAGACCTGCTGGGTCAATAATTCTGAAATTTTCATAGGCATCTCAAGGAAGTTTGATTCAGAAATGACCATTACCCTCTACCATTTTTGAATAGGTTGAGATGGGACATGGTATCCTTTTTTTCTCCCTCAGTAGACATCCCACCCAGGTCGTTATGATATCAGTAGTTCCATGACTGTACTTTGGAAAACATTAACAGATAGTGATAATATTATCTTAAGAGTTAAAACATAATTGCCATTAGTTGACAATTGCTGTGTGCTGTCTAAATGCTTTAATTTTTTTATCTCAGCTTTATGAGAACGATAAGGCCATCACTTGCCCAGTGTTTCACGTGAGCTGCAAAATCAGGATTGGGACACAGGAATGGACCTGGCTTCATCCCTGTGCTCTTGACTGCCAGATTATATCTCCAGATGGGGCTGGGCTAGCATGACCTGAGTAACCCTTATATGTCAAGCTCTATTTGGGACCCTTAATGTGTTTGATTGTTAAAAGCTCCGAAAAATTAACTTGTCCAGGGTCGCACATAGAACAAGTAAGTAGTGAAGCCTGATTTCTTACCCTTATGTGTCTAACCTTGAAGCCCAGGATCATCAGGGAGTTCTTAAATGGAATTTGTTCTGTGGGCTGACTCACAAGTCAGGTTTTCTTGGTTATTTTTTCAGTGATGGTGATGGATTTGCATCATTGGTTCATATCCTCTCTTGTGAATGTCTTTAATGTAAGTGATGGTATTTATGAGGTTGGAGTTAAAAGGCAAGTTTTTGACCATGAAACTGTGCCTGTTGACAAACGTAGGGATCAAGCATATGACCTTGATCTCATAATGTGGTGGTTTAATCAAATAAGCCAGGCACCTGCAGTTAGCTGGAAAAATGTTGTCTGGCCAGGGGTCAGTGATTTTTGAGGGTCAGGTGGTATGGCCGTACGTGGTGCTAGAGCAAACAGTCAGATAGGTGAAGGTGGTCTTCTTTCCTACCTTTCCAAAGGATCCCTTCCTCTTCTAATAGCTTTCCTTTCCCTCTCCTATTCTCTTCCAGTCTCATCAGTTCTAATTGTTACTTTCCATTTGCTAGCAATTTTGGTCAAAAGAGCAAGCTTTAGGTGTTAGAATGATAGTGGCTTATGGTGACCCTTTCTAGGAGAACTCTCAAAGGCCAGAAAGAAGCCATAATGGAAACTTCTTGACGTCTACTCTGTCTCCCTCTTTCCCGTCCTAGAGAAAGCAAATACAGTTTGACACGTCATGTCTGAAAGGGTAACGTCCCAAGGCCTTGAATTTCTTAGAAGGGTTTACAGTAGGCTATAGCATTGCATCAGTACTAGTTTGGACTAAAATCAGTGGTAATTCATGATTTTATATAGGCATCATCAAGAGATCTTGTGTTGCCCAATGATTTCTTCAGTGGAATTGCTGAAACTAAAAATGAAGTTAATACCATTCAGATTACTCTGATAAATGGACAAGTGGTCAGAAACAAATTAACTACACATGGGCACATGCAGAGCAGTCAGCCGAGGAGAAAAAATAACTGCTGTGATAGAAAATAAAGAGCTGATTTTCTATATTATAGAAGAAAAAGATCTAGAGTTCAAAGTAGATACACATACCAAAAATAGAGAATCATACCCCATAAGACAAGCATATCAAAGGTAATAAATTGAAATTTACCATGTAATAACTATGGCTTAATTCTCTTGACTCTGTCCTATGTCCAGTCTTATTGGAATCTTACCTACCTTTTGGTTTTTACAATTCAAAGGGAATTTGGAGAATTTACAAAACATCCTTAAGGTCAAGCAAAATATTGTAAAGTTTATATCATTGATATAAAATCTTACAGAGTAATATACTTTTTTTTTTTTTTTGCAGAATAGCAATTTCATTGTGTTTTATGGAAATGAATCCAGTATTGCACTTCTTGGCGAGATGAAGTAGGGAATGAGCTTATGCGGCAGTTTTACTTAGGATTTAATGTTACACAGTAATAAAATCCATATCCTTTCAACTCGTAATTTGTAGCTAAGAGCCCCAGGATTTTGTAATTAATGAGACTTTATAGTTTTTGGCTATTAGAGATTTACATGGTGGTTTTAAATCCTCCTGAAATGGATTACATCATTCAAGACAATGGCTAAAATATTGAAGCCATTATTTTAGTTATGAGCATAAAACAATAGTGTCAGAAAAGATAATAAAAATTATTTTCAGTTAGAAATGGTGATTGTGATTTTCAAAGCAGAAGTTAACATTCATTTTACTAGTAATAATAAGTGGATTGCTTTAGGGGTTGAAATTGGGAAACCAAAAAACTTGAAATAGTGTCCTTTCTTCTCTTACCCATCTATTGCTTTGGGCTTTGGAAGAAGGGTGGTAAAGGGAGAAAGATGATAAAGTCAGGAGGCAAAGGGGGAGGGAGAGAGCAAGAGAGAAGTAAAACCAGTTATGAAGGCTTGCTTGAGTAACTTATACTTTGTCTGAAGACATACGAT